CATTTCTGACCATTGTTCACATGAACACGTGCAGATGACCAAGTTCACAGCAGCACTGACTCCCTGAAAGCTAGCGATGCTAAGATAAACTTGCAGCTGATGTCTTGTGTTTGGATACTTCAGAGATAGCCCCATGAGCATCAGCTACCTGGCTGCTAAAGCCGTCTGGCTGGTTTCAGTTCAGCAAAAGTGATGCATCAAAACCACTCAGCACACTGAAAATGCATATAGAGAATGAAACTCCTAGTTAATACTGAAGTAAATGCAGCAGGTGGTTGCACTGATTGTAGGGCTGTTGCATTTAATTCCCAAACAATCACTGCAATTAGGCACTCACAGCTTTTTCTCCCTCTTAGTTGCCACCATGCCTTGCTGGATTTGCTGCTCAGTTTAGTTGCAGAGGCCATGTGGAACAAACCTTGGATGAATCCTGACCTGCAGCACAAACTGCAGAATCTTGTTCTTACTGTGGAAAAACAATGGCATCTATGACAGAACACTGCTGTTCAGCTTTTCTGGGATAATAAAAAGCCAAAAGCTTTGGGGCACTACTGGATGTTCAGGTTTGACTCCGAGGCACTCAGCTGTGAGCAAGCAATTCACACATCTCAGAGCAGTCGGCACACTGGGTGCCTTGCTATGGTACAGTGCTTTAATACCAAGAGGTTTTCTTTCCTTTTCACTAAAGCAGATTTGTTGTGTAGCTGAAATAGACTGTGCAATTCAAGTATAAGGTAGAGCCTCTTTTGGGAAAAAAAAATGCATTTTAGGTATCTTTTGTAGATTAGAAAGTATTGAAAGTGTTTCTGATTGAACTAACTATAGAAGAGACAGGATTTTATACTTCAGTGGAGTGTTGTTATCTTCTATCGTATTTAATATTTTGCTGAGGTTATGCTAAATTCTGTCTGGACCATTAATAGGTTTCTTTAGATCCATTTTTATATGACTGAATTTCTGTGATTTCTTAAGATGGAAGGTTATATATAATCTCTTTAAACGCCCTTGTAAACAAACATCTTAGTACAGAATCATCTCTGGTAGCTCATGAAAGGTATTGTAGAGCTGTAAATGTCATGACACTTACTTTAAAAAGCATTAGCTTAAGGAGGAGTGAGGCAAGAGTGAGTACCAACTTCTACTAAGCAGTGGGGGATATAAGTACGTATTTACCTACATTGTATGTATGGCCATGGTACCCAGGAACATACAAAACAATATGAACACATCTCATTTTCAGTACCATTGAAGCCACTTGCAGCTAAATTCTGTCATTGCTCAGGAGTGTGACTGTGCACAAAATGAACTGAAGCCCTTAAGAGATGCTGCCAAGCTGTAGTAAGAAGGGGTTGGTATTGGAGTCAGAAGGCAGAGTTCCTCTCTCTGATTTTACCTTGGTGCAGGTGAATCCTGCAGTCACAGTGGGGAAGCTGTTCCTGCTGGTCTGCATTTCTTAAAGACTTAGACATAATGAGAAGTTTATGAATAATGATGCTGTCTGTGTTCCTGTCACAAGAGGATCCTGAGCTGCTGTGTTTGCTGATTCTAGAACTTGAGAGCTCCCTGTACACAGGTATTTGCATTTCATAAATGAAACTGTGAAGAATCTTCCTGTAAAAACATGAGCGTTTTGCTACTGCAGTTAGCTCACTTCTGTATTTTATGCTGAATTTCATGTCTGTTAGGGAGATAAAATCACCTTTCTTTAGGGAGAGAACACAACCATTAGTTAACTGCAGGGGCCTCTAACCCAGAGTTCTGGGCTTGGCCCAGGCTGCTTTGGTTCACAATGTAGCTGGACATTTGACTCCAGAAGTGAATTTTTGGTGCAGAGATTCTTCTCCGACTTTCTCCTATGCATGTTATTAAACCAGATTACATAGGCATTGTGCAACAATGAAGAACTGCTCTAGATTTAAACTTTTGTGTATTACCTTCATTGCACAGCACCGTGACCAGGATAGGTTTGCATGTGGGGGAAAAATATGAAACATGAGAGAAGGAATCTGAAAAGCTTTGGTAATCCTGTCCAGTCTGTAATAGTGTGTCTTCTCCTAGATTAGGTTCAAATGAGTTTATATTCTTTGAAGTGGGGATTGGTTTGTATTAAACTTGTATTGAATTTACTTTGTGATAGGGTCAGAGGGTGTCTGGTTTTTGGACTGAAATGGTTAATGTACAGAAATGAGTAATTTTTAGGTTTTGAATCTATTTCACATAGATCTGTTGTCACTAGTGTGGCTTGTGATGACTGCATTTTCAGTGTCATTGGAGTGTTTGATACACAGTGTCCTTTCCTTTTCTGAGTATCACCAAGGGAGTATATTTAGCAGTTGATTTGAGAGTATGTCAACCAGCACACAGAGCTGGTTCAGTAAAGTAAATTTGAGACGTACGAAACAGAGACATGTTCAGCCATGTAAGCAGTTCTACCATTAAAGCATCTTGCAGAAAGCACAGTTAGGGCCATCTTGTGAGGCAAGCAAGCATTGTTTTATGCCCATATATGCATTGGTGATGCCTTATGGAGTGAGAGGTATGCTGGGCTGCGGGTGTTGAAGCAACAGCACCCAGCCTAACCCAGCCAACTTTGGCTGGAGCCAGCATGAAGGGAAATTCAGAGCATGCAGTATGGGAATATTTAGTGGCTTTCTGTCCATTTCCTTGCCACCCAGCAGCTGGAGATGCTGCAGCTCTGAGGTGTCTCCCAGCATGGCCAGGACTGCTCTGTGTCTTGACCAGGCAGTCTGCTAGTAGGAGAGAATGGGTGTGGACCAGAGTTGTTCTGGGGCTTCCCATGGGATGACAAACTTTGCTGATAGAGTTGCTCCTTCCCTTCTCCAGCCAGCTTTGGGCCAACAGAATGGGTAGCTGTTAAGGTCCTTTCCAACCCTAACCATTCTGTGAGTGCGTGTGAGAGAGTCATTCTTCTGATTTGTTGGGGATGTGAACATCACCTTAAGGATGTGCAAGGTGAACACTTGTCATGAATTCAACTTTTCTCTAGTGAGTTTTACATTCTTGTCCACAGTTGTTGAGAAACAGATGAGCATATCCCTTTTGATGCTTTCCACAAATGATCTCTGGCAGCAGCACGATGTCACAAGTGGAGCTCTTGTTTATGCCTTTTGGTGCACCTTCAAGAAAATGCCTACCCTGTGCTACCTCCCATAAACTCATGGAAGGCTGTCCCAGCTTTGTCTGCATGCTTTGCCCAGCCAGGGGTTGCAGAGTTCACACTCACATGTTTCACTTGAATGTGAAGCTGTCACCCCATATCACAAGTGTCCATGGCCATTTAATTTCGCCAGGGCCTACTTGAAACATGCCATGCTAAGACTAAGCAGCTTGTTTTGGATGTGCACTTTGCCTTTCCAGCTGGCTTTGCACAGATCAGTGGCCTCCAAATAAAGTCTCTAGATTTATACTTGAATGGTTTAGGAACCTTAGTTACTGTCAAAAAGCTGTTCAGCTACTGCCTGAACAACTGTCTGTTGTCTGACTAGCTGCAGGCCACTTCCATCTGCTGTGCTGGACCTAAAAAACCCTTAGAGAGGCCCTGTGGAAGGACTACATGTGGATCAGATCACTCTACATCCTACCAGCACTGGATCAATCACACTGGCACAGATTTAAGTCACACAGCTGGGGGTGCTTTGCTGTTACATGCATGGGAGCAATTTTGGTTTCTGTGTTCATAGAAATATTGATTGGAGTGAATGTCTATGGCTTTGTCTGGGTAAGTGTTGAAAATCCTCCAAGGACTGCACTTCCACAGCCCTTATGGGAACCTATTCTGGTTGTGCACCACTGCCCTAGTAAAAAAATTCCTTCCTAATGTCCATCCTGAACCTCCCAATTCACAGCCATTGCCTCTTGTTCTATTATTTCTATTATTTGGCCCCACTAAGAAGTATTTTGTTCTCATTGCAACACCCATCAAGTAGTTGTAGGAATTTCTTGGAATTGTTGCAGTTTCCTTGGAATGAAGATTATCCAGTGTGAACAATAGGGGTTTTTGTTTCCTCTTTTTCCCCTCTGCATCTTAGTATTGCATTTCTTGGTGCGCTGAAATGGATTTGCATTTGGGATTTCATACATATGGAGAAGCTTATTGACCATTATCTAATAAACTCATTTAACACAGTTTCAAAATTGGTTAGGGTCAAAGAGCTTAATTTACTTTTGCATGGCAGCCTTTTCTGGGGGAAGTGGTGAACCGTAGCTCACTGGCTTGCGTTGCTCCTGCCTTTCACAGCCGAGCACTGGAGCAAACTGGAGTTTCTGAGGACTTAAATGAACTTCTAATGGATGCCTTGTACTACAGGGAAGTTCCTAACACCACTGTTAAGTTGCTGCTTTGCCCACCACATTGTGGGACTCCAGGGTTCATTTTGCTCTTGGTTCTCAGACATGTGCCAGTATTGCCCATTAGGGTTTACATGGATTCAAAACCAGATCAGGGCACTTCCAGCTGGAAATGTTAGTAGTCAGCAAGAGGCTTTCTGCTTTATATGAATGGGGTGAACCACCCGACTGCTCCTAGACATGGCCACTGCTGTGGAACACTGACCCAATCTATGGGCTTAGTTATTCATTTTTATTAAGCATTAGAAGAGCTGTAATGCAGATTTATAGGACCATGTGAGCTTGCTAATGGAGAAACAGTGAACTCTTGAGCAGCTGAAACCCTTTCATCATCTGGCACAAAGGAAAACATGGTAGATCAGAGACAGGTCATGCATGCACCTCTTTCTGTGTGTGGGGCTGTCCCTGAAACAGCTGCAGGCTTCAGGATTCAGATTTTGGATGGCTGTTTTTCTTAGATCCTGACCTTCCCTGGTAAATGCAGCACCAGTGACGAGGGGGATGTTTCTGTGCATCCACGTGAGCTAAGTGTCCGCTTCTCCAGGCACCAGTGTCCTGACCTGACGCCATCCTTGTGTGGGTGAAGGTGTGACAGGCAGGTTTTGAAGCTAATTACCCAACTGCAACCACACTTCACGCACTGATATTGTTGCCCCGTTGCTCTGAGACCAGGCTGCTGGGTTGTTTTTTTCTTGGTTGTTTTCTAGATGGAATTTGAGGCATGAGCTGCAAAACACAAAGCGGCTCCAGCCACGATCACCTCTGTGAGTGCCTTTCCCTCATCCAGTGGGCAGCTGAGGAAAAGCAAAAGCTGTCAGGTCCCTGCAGAAAAAGAGAGAAATGAAAGCTGGCAGCATCTGTATGTTACAACTTATCTGCTGTGGAGCTGGAGTCCCGTGTTCCTGCTGGTGTGATCTGTTAACACAACACGCCTGGAATGTTTTCTTACATTCTTACACTTCTTTTGCGATGTGCTAAATGAAAGACGGGGGGATATTTACTCCAGAGCCACAGGAATTGTGTGGGCTGATTTTCTGCTTTTTACATTCACAATCTATGCCATCGATCATGCTGCTTGTTGTGTTTCAACATATGAATTAGCCACATAAACATGCCTGCACTTACGTAAAGAGCTGCATTAAAGCTGGTGATTTATAATCTTTAATGGATTTATAGGTGCTGAGTAATTAAATGTAAGCTCCCATTAAAAACAAACATGAAGTTAGAGCAGGTCTTTTAGCAAGTGTGTTTATTACGTTTAGTGCTATCAACTGCTAGTGCTTAGAATGCCTTAAAACAATGTTTTAATACTATGCGTTTCAGTTCCTCTTATTGATCAGTTAAAATGCTTTCCTTAGTGTCAGTCCTGTGATGTTCTTCTCCTGTGAAGTCCTGGTTTACCTGGTTGGCAGATAACAGAAAAGAATTAGTGCTTTAAAACTACTCACAGCCTGTGCCCTCTGCACCCTGGTGATGATTCTGTTAACTTCCCAGTTGATGGTAAGGAAGTGCACTAACTCCTTACATTCTCCCTGCAGCAGGCAGACTTTCTTCAAACAGCAATAGAGGCAGAGAAGTTGAGTATGTAGTCCGGCTTCATTAACGTTCTCCAGGATTAATATTAAGTAGATCTCAGATCAACAGTTCTGTTTATTCTTCACTAGACTTTCAGTTAGTCCAAGTATATTGTTCATTCCATTTCCATGTATTTAACTCTCTGTTTACTGCTTGGATACTATTCTTGTCCTCTGCCACATCCTCCTTTATCTTCAGTCCCCACTCTCTTGTCAGCTGTCTAAATACAGTTGCATCCAAGTTGTGCTGAGTGACGCAGATGATCTCGTGTGTCTGTAGAGGCCATTTAAAAACTAAAAGATTATTTCAGTTTAGTCCTGGAGCGAGTTTTTATATTTAAACCCAAATCAGCCAGGTGGTTGTTGGGTGCTGCAGCCCCAGGAACAGACATTCGCCTGATTAGGATTTTCTGTATAAGTACCTATATTCCCTATTTCTGGCATTTTGCTATTTTAAAGCTCAGTGTCCCAGTAGCAGCCACAAGGCACCTGTGAACTGATGGGGCAATTTCTGTGCATATTTATCCCAGTCTTTGTTGCTGTTGTTTCAGTAATAGCATTTAGGTGGTGAAGTTTAGAGTCTTGCAGTTAAAAACAAACCACGGGCCTGAACCAAGTCTGTCATCAGTTTTCTCTTGAGAATCACATTTTGACCAGTATTTCCTTTTTCCCCTGAGTGGCTTGAAGAAGGAATTAGTGATTTTATGGAACTGCTCTTTGGTTTCCTACCTAATACATTCCTGATTTATAGGCAGCCAGAACATGTGAGTGTGCAGTCATTACTGTATTTTAATTAGATTTTATTTTGCTTTGGTTTTTTTCCCCATTAATTCTCAAGTGGTTGTCACATTACACTAATCATTGCAATTACACACGTGTAACTTGTCATTCAGTGCATATTAAATCCTCTGCATTTCAAACAGTGCTGCTGGATTCTGGTTCTGAACTGATTGTTTAACAGAAGGTTCATTTTTGAGTAGAAGCATTAAATTTCCTGCAAAGTGTGTTTCCTTCATGCAGCATTGAGCAGATTTGAACAAGATGATTGTTCATCTCACACTTGTGATCTACTTCTCTTATTATTAGCTTTGTGGGGGATATTGGTACACTCCAGGTCATTTCTTTGTTCAGTCTGTAACAGGCTGGAGGAAAGGAAGATATTAGACGTATTGCTCATATAAGCACTTCTGCATCCGTTTCTATCCCATTGCAAAATGGTATGGATCAGTGTATTACAACCAGGAGAGAGTTTCTTCTGGATTTAGGTGTAGAGATGCTCACACAGTGTTGTTTGGTTTGCCACTGCCTGCCTTTGGGTAGTTGAAGCCACTGTTTCACAGACTGTTGTATTGCCAGCATCCTTCTCAAAGACAGTCAAAGTTTGGGAACCAAGCATCTGTAGAAATAACCGCTTTGCTGATGCTCTTTTTACTGATAGTTTTAATGTCATTAGTAAAGGAGAGATTGTTGAGAGCAGCAGTAGTTATACTTGCAAGGGAGTGACAGAGAAAGCAGGACCCAAAATGGCTGGGTGTATTTTCTCTTGTGTGTTGATAATAAAGGTTTTCATGGCTGTACAGCGAGAGAAGAAGCATCTCCTCGTCGGGGGGGGGGGGGGGAATGTGGGTCAGGATGGGAGGAGAAGGGGCATTAGGACCTCCCTGTTACAATGCATTGATAAACCATGTCTGGAAGCAGCAATGAGTTGTGCAGAGCTGCATGCATGCCCTTGTCTTGTGTACCAGGAGTGTGTCCTATCTCGTTGGGAAGGGCTAATGAGGGAGAGGGAAGCTGGGGTCTGCAGCCCCCCTGCTCGCTCTCACAGCTTCATCGCTGATGGCAAAAATCACTGTTGGGGTGAAGTCCCAGTTCTCCTTCCTTACCCAGTCATAGGCTCAGTGTGCAGCCTTGCCTGGGTTGCTCACATCTCCCCCTTCGTTAAGATGGGACTACCCAGGCTGAGCAAACAGCTTTGCAGTACAGATATGAACCTGCTGTCTGCATGTGCTAAGCAGTGTTAACTGCATTTCAAGTGACCTTTAGGTCTGAAGCTTTGCCAAAGGGAGGGGAAAGGAAGCCACCATTGAATCGAGTTGTGCACAGAGCTCCTGCAAACAGATGGTGTTTGCATATAGGATGTGCTGTTCGGGTGCAACTTCACTACAATGCTCTTCATTTTTAATCATTTCAGGCGGGCTAAACTCCGGCTATATTTGGAACAGCTAAAACAGCTCGTGCCGCTCGGGCCGGACAGCACCCGGCACACCACTCTAAGTCTGTTGAAAAGAGCCAAGATGCATATCAAGGTAAAAACGTTCATTCATCCTTTGATTTCTTTTAAAGCAGAATCTTCCAGAATCCATAGAAAGGAAGCTAATTTTCACACAACTCCGTATCCATATGTCTGATCTTCTGGGTATATTGGCCTTTATTAGTTGCAAGGATTTCAGGCACAGCATCAAGAGTTTGCAATTTACCTGCAGTCCCAAGATGTATAAAACAGTGATTTATGTGATTTCTGCTTAGTTGTTAATAGTTTACATTCAGTTTAATATCTGTATCAGAGCTGTTCTTTGATTAATAGATGTATTTTTAAGAACTAAGTAAAGTAGCATTGTACTGCACTGATTTCAATGTAAAAAGCCAGATCTATTCATGATCAAAAAATCTAATGGAGTCAAAGGAATTATAGCTACTAGGAAGCCCTATCCCCATCCCACATCTTAATGACCAGATCCTGGAGCATTTTTTAATCATTTAAAAGAAACCAAAATGAAATCCACTCTCCTGTTTGTTGCCTCTCCCTTGCATGGGTGGAACAAGAGTAGAACAAAACCCAAAATCTCACCTGTGATCCAGCAGCAGCACAGGTTATACACCGGCAAAGGTAATTTCAAAGGGAATTATTCCTCAGGCCTCCTCTCTTAAAGACACCTTCACTCCCATTTTCACTGTCATCGTTTTCAGGAGACCAGGGTTCTATGCAGACATAAGACAAACAAGTATTCAAATGTAAAAGTTAAAGAACAGGTTTTTGCTGCTGTGTGCAAGGCTGGCATTTTTTTCAGTGTTAGAGGGAAACAGGTCAAGAGAAGTGTCAGGAGAGGTGAAACAGTGCCGGTGATCATGGAGTATTGTGGAGATCAGCCTGCGGTTGCACAGCACTGAGATCCACTGCAGCTGCAGAAACGTGTGTGATTCAGATGAAGAATTAAAGATTAACTTAAGCAAAACCTTTCTTGTGAGCAACTTTACTGAGCCCTCAGAAGCAGACTGACTCCAGCTGGGCAAGCCCTGGTTTTACCATTTGAGATTTCAGCCTCTTGTTTATAATGGAGGCTAACATGCGTGAAAGGCACTGCATGTGGGTTTTGTCTCGGGCTGCCCCCCTGTCATGGGCTTATGCATACAAATTGAAGAACTGTTTTTACAAGTGGCAAGTGTGAGAGATTAGCCATGTAGTCACCCTGTCAGCTGCTGATAAAAACAGCTAGGAGCAGATTCCGTCCAAGTCCATCGTGCTCGGTACAAAGTACTTGTTCTTCTGAAAACTGAGGCTGAAGTTTAACCTTCTCTTTGAGATTTTAACTGAATCTGCCCTAACTGGGGTGCCACTTAATTGCTCCCCTTCATCAGGCAAGCTGCCTCCCCGCTGCACCACCAGAGCATGCCAGTGCCTCTCTGCCATTTCAAATACAGTCATTAGCTTTGAACTTTTCACACATTCACCCTCCCCATATACTGCAGCTTGCCCTGAAGAATCAGATGGTTTTGAGTCTCCTGGATCTGAATCACTGAGCTCATTCCTAAAATAGTTGTTAAAGTTTGGGATTGCAGCCAGGAAAGTACAGGGAAAAGGAAATCTGATCAATTGGGCACAGTTGGTTTGTTGCGTACGTGGATGTGCCAACCCTTTTTCTTATTGTGTATCCACGTATGATGTGTATCTACAGAGTGTATTGCCTGGGAGGGGGCTGCAGAAGTTAGATTTCATTCAGCCAGGAAACTGCTCAATTCAATAGTGTCAATTGGGTTTTTTTTCCAAAGATAAATACTTTTGCTCTGAGGCTGGCACTGGAACAGCCAGACCTCTGGAATGGGTTTGGTTGTGGTTTGCTGTGCACTGTGTCCCCCTGCTCTCCTCAGGAAACCCAGCAGAGGTTCGCTCAGCAGGGAGGGACTGGCAGCAGCTGTGCTCAGTCCCTGCACATCTCCTAAATCTCAGTGTCCTGTAAACACAGCTCAAGCAGAAACAGGGTCTTTCTTACAAGTGCTTTTGCTGCTACAACATGTAATTCACTTCATTGGTTAGGTAATTCTGTTAAATGATACGAGGCATTTTTATTTCTCTGTCCTTCCTGCTCTTGATCCCATCATACTCATTACGCTTTCTTCACTAATTACATAGTAATTTCTTTTAAATGGCTATCAGTGATTTGGAAGAGGGTTCAGTTGAAATCTTAAAACACACTATTTCTGTTACTGCATTTGGAACAACAATGCAGCACATCTTACCAGGTGTGAAATATTCTATTTCCATAACTAATACTGTCTTTTACTCAAGCAGAGGGGAGATTTTAGGTACATGTGTGGAAGGAACCTTTCACAGGCTGTTTGCTGAGAAGTTTTGGATTAATACCACTGATTTTGTAGGGCATTATCACCGAGTTATCGTATTTGCTGTGCTGCAGTTCAAGGAGGGAAAAAAACAGGCAAGAATAAAGAGAATTGTTAGTAAATTCCTCCTACTGTATATAATTAATACTGCCTATTGTTAATGAAGCTTTTTAAATGTTAAAAATTTCCATGGCCTGCAGTAGGAGGGAGAGCACTCGGGAGGCTGCAGTGATTCCTGCATGGTGATAAGCCTCTTATGTCACCTACAGAGGCGTTATGTTCTGACTGAAACCTGAGCTACACTCCAGTTATCAGAGATGGTGCCAGCTTTGCCTGACAAAGTAATTTAAACATTCCCCACAACCAAGGCAACAATAATTTGGTCTTAGCTGAGGAGCGGCTGCTGGTGGCAAGAGAATCACTGAGGGATTTTGGGGTTCTTTTTCCCCATATATTCATGTATCTTATTGTGAAATTCAGCTCTGGCCCAGCCTGCTTAAATTGTACTGACTTCTATAACATTATAATTAAAAAAAAAAACAAAAAACAATTTAAATTTAATTTAAATTTTGAGTTAATGAAAACATTTAAACTGCTTTAAAATTACTGCCAGGTTGTACAGAGTCTTAGGCGATAGGTCTAGAGTGAGGCATCCCTGCCCATGGGATGGTCCTTTCTAACCCAAACCATTCTATGATTATATGATTCTATGTTACTGTTCATGAGCAGATTTTCAGTTACCTGGGTTTTAACATGATCAAACCTGTCAGCTCACTGGCTTTCTTCTCCCTTTCAGAAATTGGAAGAACAGGACCGAAAAGCTCTAAATATTAAAGAACAATTACAGCGGGAGCACCGCTACCTCAAGCGCCGGTTGGAGCAGCTATCCGTGCAGGGCATGGAGCGCATCCGCACTGACAGTATGGGATCAACAATATCCACTGACTCTGAACAAGGTAATTGAACAAGGGCTTCCCAAAGGGACTTGCAGGAGCTGGCAGGGAAAGGTAAACAGGGAAGCAAGAAAAGCATTTAGAACTAAATCCAAGGTTTCAGCAAAACCCTGGCAAAATAGTTCCATTGTGTGATTTGCAGGATGAAAACCTACTGCATCTCTTTTACATGCTTTGGGAAATGTTTTCTTTTTTCTAAGCAGTTGTGAAGCATTAGTACTGCTTGGATTTTAAAGCTGGCTACACTGCATGTGGGTTTGCCAGTTTTTTGAACAATTAACATTTAATGTTCTGAATTTTTAGGGTAATTATTACTAAGGCTGGAATAATATCTTCTTCTTGGGGGAAAAAAAAAAAAGATCTTACTGGTCTTAATCCATATGTGTGAATAAATGAATTCCACATCATTTATTGTGAAAGGAGGAAAATTCTTTCCTGTTAGGCTGGTGAGGCACTGGAATGGGTTGCCCAGGGAGGTTGTGAATGCTCCATCCCTGGCAGTGTTCAAGAACAGGTTGGATGAGGCCTTGGGTGATATGATTTAGTGTAAGGTGTCCCTGCCCACGGCAGGGCAGGGGGGTTGGAACTAGATGATCTTAAGGTCCTTTCCAACCCGAACTATTCTATGATTCTATGGTTCTGTGATTCTAAACGTTAAAGTATTTTCTCTGTATCAATCACCAAGTGTTTCTATATCTGGTTCTCGCTGAGGACAGAGCTCTTCAAGCTGCCTGTCACTATCCCTTATTTCATGATGTGAAGTGTTTCTGTGCGTGAGCACCGGTGCAGGCTGACTGTGTCTCACTGCCAGCGACACCTGCATTGGTTGGAGTTATGATGAGCTGCAGTGCCACAGCCTTGGAGGGTTGGGGTGTTTTATAATCGGTGTCAGTGCACAGGTTGGAACAGTTCTGGGACAGCATCTGGTACTGATGCCATGCAGTATATTTATGTGGATGAGGACAGAAGGGATTTTAATTCTCTGGTGGACAAGATCATCCCTTCCCCGGGAATTACTGTTCCAGTTTTCTGTTAATTACAGAAAATGAAGTATGATTCAGGTTTCACCTGAACACTGATTGACACTGGCCCATGATTACTTGCTACAGCTGCTGCCTTTCTGAAAATGTGCCTTCTTGTGTTCTCTTTAGAAGTAGACATTGAAGGAATGGAGTTTACTCCAGGTGAAATGGACAGTATTGGAAGTGCCAGTGATGCTGAAGACCACTACAGTTTGCAAAGCGGTTCGAGTGACGGAGGCTACACACATTCCCGCAGACTGAATGCCAGGCTCTCATAGTGCCTGAGTTCCCCGCTCAACTCAGGACCATCTGACTGAAGCACTTATATGAATATTCCAGAGTTGTCAACTGCCACTCTTCCAGGAAACCCCAACCACAGTACTCTGACATGGAGGTTTCTTAACCCACGGTTCCCTGCACTGTAACCACAATATTAGATATTGTAAATCATGGGTTTGCTGCAGAGAACTGTGGTTAGGTACAGTTGTGACTTAAAGCTAGCTTGATGTAGCCATACTGCAAATTAAAGAAAATAAATTATGTCATTCCATTCAAGAAGTATTAAATTCAACCTGTTGGAAGCATGGCGTGAGGGAGTTTGACAGTTATTTTGAGTTTTGCAGAAACCATTTTCAAACATGGAAGAATAAATGGAATCTACAATGTGTCAATGATTCAGAGAAACGAAACCCTAAAACTACTTTTTGTGGTATTTTTTCATGATGAAAACAAAACCCAAACCCACAACATTCTGAAGGCTGTAGCGGGCTCTGTAGAGTAAATTCAGCAGCTGCTGTTTGGGTGAAGAAGGCAGATAAATCTTCAAATCTCAGATGATCTTTAGAAAAGGTCATATTTACAAGTCACTACTGTACTTCAAAACGGGGAAAAGCCAGCTCTAATAATGACTTCATGTGGGATGATCTCAACTTTCTTCTGCTTTTTTTTGTATTCAGTATCCAACCAGCAGCAAATCATTCTGTCCACGTTAACGGGAGCAGCAGAAAGCAGTGCTGCAGTTTCAACCTGTTACCGTGGAAGGGATGAAACTGAAGCATTTCAGTGGTTTTTTGGGTTGTTTTTCCATTTCTTTGTCTGAAGAATACAGAACTCAAGTGATCCAGTTTGCAATAGTTAATCTTTCCTTGCAAGGAAGTGAAATCTCTGGCTTATATTTTCTTCTATTTACTCATGTCAGTACATCTTTATGGAAGACATGGCTTAAAATTACAGTATTCAGCTAGAAGATAATTAATTTTTTTTCTTTTGCACACTATAATTGCATTTTCTATTCTTAAAAAAAGTGCAAAAAAATGAAAACGTATGCTGTAAAACAGCAAAGTTTATTTAGTACTCATCAAGCTGTTCAGAACATATTTACCCAACT